GGAGAATCAATCTAGATGATATCTATCACTAATGATCAATGAGATCGCGTGCCATCGCCTAATGGGATTGTTAGAAATTGTTAAAATATTAAATTGACAATTTCACCCCCTCTGACGACCCGACAATGACTTTTGTGATATGTGGGGAATCAATCTAGATGATATCTATCAGTGATAATCAATGAGATCGCGTTCCATCGCCTAATAGGATTGTTAGAATTTTTCAATATCAAATTGAACATTTCGCCACCTTTGACGACCCGACAATGACTTTTGTGATATGTAGGAAATCAATCTGGATGGAATCTATCAATAATGACCAATGAAATCGAGTGCCTTCACCTAATAGGATTGATACAATTTTTTAAAACATTAAATTGACAATTTAACCCCCTCTGACGACCGGACTTTTGTGATATGTGAGGAATCAATCTTGATGATATTGATCAGTATTGACCAATGAGATCGCGTGCCATCAACTAATAGGATTGTTAGAATTTTTTTAAATATCAAATTAACAATGTCACACTCTCTGACGACCCGACAATGACTTTTGTGATATGTAGGGAATCAATCTAGATGATACCTATCAGTAATAACCAATGAGATCGCGTGCCCTCGCCTAATAGGATTATTGGAAATTTTTTAAATATCAAACTGACAATTTCGTCCCCTCTGACGACCCGACAATGTCTTTTGTGATATGTAGGAAATCAGTCTAGATCAGTGGTTCTCAACCTTTTAGTGATGAGGGACCATTTTACAATTTTTTGTCTTGCCATGGACCACTGAATGATTGGAGGTGAATATATTGAATGACAATTGATGGATGATTGTTCTATCAGCGAAAAGAACATGCAAACATCTGTTCAAAGCAAACATTGTTTGAATTTTTAGGCAAAAATTCAATATTGATGCGATTTTTGTGATACTCCTCAATACTTGGTTCAGTGCTACTCAAAGCCAAATGCATCTCGGCAGTAGGCATCTAACCGAATTTGGTGATTGTTTTTAACGATTAGAAGCACCTAGAGTCCCTGCTAGCATTGATATGAACACGAAGGGTAGGTATTCAATAGCAATTTGTGAAACCTCTGCAAAAGAAATTGCCTTTTGGCGCCAAAAATCTTTAAGATCAATTCCTGCTTCGAATGTATCTCTCAAGTTACTATCTTGAAGATTCAATTTATTTAGTTGTGCGAAAAATCTACCAAGCGAGTCGTATTTCAAATTGGGAACCGTCCGCTTGTCACTCTAATGTCACTAATTCAATATTTTTCCGATTGCTTCGCGGACCTTTTTGGGTGCTTCCAGGGACCACCAGTGATCCGCGGACCACCGGTTGAGAACCACTGGACTCTAGATAATATCTATCAGTAATGACCGATGAGATCGCGTGCCATCAACTAATAGGATTGTTAGAATTTTTAAAATATTAAATTGACAATTTCGCCCCCACTGACGACCCAACAATGACATTTGTGATGTGTTAGGAATCAATCTAGATGATATCTTTCAGTAATGACCAATTGAACAAGTGTGGTTGGATAATTGTGGCGAGGATCTCATCCACGAATTCCACGATTTTATATCCACACTTCATATTGGTTAACAATGTTGCCAAACCGTGAAAGTGTGGATGAAAATAATGAAGGCGAGTAGACATCAATATATTGAGTTATAATCATATTGAAAATGCTCAGAATATGGTGTAGAAACTCCTATCAAATCCCATCTACTGTTTTTCGGTCAAGGTTCTAGACATACGGCCTACTTGACAGAATGGGTTCTTTTCAATATCACGGAATAAAGCTCGCATTTTACCCGTTAGATGGCGGAATCTCAACCAAAATTCAAGGTTGGTAGAACTGATGATAATTGAAATTCCCCAAAATTACAGTTTTGTAATATCAAATTTAATCTCATTTGATTTGAGGTTATGTTATGAATGTTATGCTATTATTATTTCTGGTGCAAGCAGTGTGTAAGCGCCGTTTCCTGTCTTCTGTCATAAATCTGTAAAAAGTGCCGCCATCTTGCGGACAACTGAGAAGTAATATGCCATTATTGCGGAATCTGCGGTCACGCGTTTTGTGAGAAACAAAACACTGTCTGTGATCACACCATGTTCTATCCACCTAGCTGTGAATAGAGGAAATCACTCCCAATTTTTGTGTCTACCGCCTTTTATAACTCAGATACAGGACGTTATCTTGATCTTGGCAAAATCTTCATCTGGTCATAATTTCAACCACTTCCTATAATCTATTCATACTTGGTGGATATATTCCACTTATAATGCCCATCAAAACTTAATAAAAATTGAGATCAGAATCCAGGTCCGTCTTAAGGAATAACAGAAATTTTCTTTTATTTCAAAAACAACACTGAGTATGGCAGATATTTGTGATACTGTTTTGATATTTGGAAAGAGCGTGAAAAATTAATGAAGTGGCCTACTTTTTACAAGTGGGCATCCAATTTGGCAGATGGGTAATTATTATTTTTTGAAATATTCACATCCATTTCCAGGCATTTTCATGGATCTGGTAATTCAAAATAAAATTTTGATACAAAAAAAAATAACAGTATTCAAATGTCAACATCAACATCTGCTTGTTTGACAGAATAATATGTCTATGATTTTATAAATATTCGAGGCTCATTTTATTCTTCCCTATTAATAATTCATGAGCTGCGGTAAAGTCGGCTGTGCAAAATATTTTGATCTTAAGTTTGTTTTTGGTGCTTGTATTGGGTTGTTACATTTCAAATACAACCTCAACGTTACCAATAATATCACACTAGTGATTATGAACTGACAGAATTTAAAAGTTTTTTACACAGCATACCATGGCTTATGAATAAATGGTGGAGAATAAAATGAATCCTCAATATTTTCTAAAATCATTGAAGTTATTCCCTCAAGGGAACAAAACTATTGATAATTCACCTAATTTGACTATGATGATGTTGAACTTAGGATACTGTTATTTTTTTAATTTAAAATTGGATTTTGAATCAAGAGTTCAATAAAAATGCCTCCAAATGAAGCTGAATATTTCAAAAAATAATAAAAAATCATCTGTCGCATTGGATGCGCGCTTGAAAAAGTAAGCCAGTTCATTAATTTTTCCTGCTCTTCCCAAATAAAAATATCCAAACAGATTCACAAAATGTTGCCATACAGAGTGTTGTTCTTAAAATAAATGAAGTTTTCTGTTTTTCCTTAAGACTGACCTGGATTCTGTTCTAGATTTTTATCTAGTTTTGATTAGTAATATAAGAGGAATATTTCTACAAACTCAAGATAACGCCCTGTATCTAAGTTTTAAAAGACGGTAGACACATGGATGAGGGGTGATTTGAAACCCTCAAAGTGTCCGCAATCTGCAAGTATCTTCTGTACATTTTAATCTGACACACCCTGTATAAAATTTTCCTGTGCCTGTCATGGTGTTTATCGCCAAACTCCTCCGAAACGGTTTGACCGATTTGTATGAACATTTTTGTGCGTATTCGGTAGTTATGAGAATCGATCATAAGTTATTTTTTAAATTGAAAATTCAAGATGGCGGATCCAGTATGCCGGACGAGTTTTGTGATCCGATTTAATTCAAAATTGGTATCTGGGGGTTTTGGGGGTCAGAGATTATGATTCTTTTATGAAAATTGAGAAATTCAAGATGGCGGTTCCAATAAGGATTACGAGTTTTGTAATTATTCCGTCGTAAAAATTTGGAAATTCAAAATGGCGGATCCAATATGACGGACAAATTTTCAAATTATAGTCCAATTTTATTCAAAATTGGTATCTGGGGGTTTTCGGAGTCGGAGATTATGATTCCATCGTCAGAATTAGGAAATTCAACATGGCGGATCCAATATGGCTGACGAGTTTTGTAATTATGATCCGATCCTATTCAAAATTGGTATCTGGGAGTTAGAGATTATGACTTTTTCAACAAAATTAGGAAACACAAAATGACTGATCCAATATGGAGGACGAGTTTCTTTATCATGATCTGATTCTATTCAAAATTGGTATCAGGGGGTTTTCAGGGTTGGAGATTATGATGCTTTCGTAAAAAATTGAAAATTTAAGATGGCGGATCCAATATGGCGAAAGAGTTCTGTAATTATAATCAAAGACCATTCAAATTTTGTATCTGAGGGTTTTTAGGGTCGGAGATTATGATTCTTTGTCACAAATTTGGAAATTCAAGATGGCAGATCCAATATTAGGTTTTGTGATAAAGATTTGATTCTATTCAAAATTGGTGGATGAGGTCATACTAAACAGAAGTAGATAATATATAGTATAGTTATGAATCTGAAGAGATAGATTGTTGAACTAAAAAGAAGTAGACAATAAATAATTGTAGTTGGAAAAACTAAAGAAACACATTTTTATGGATAGCCAAACTAAGAAGAAGTAGGAAATGAAGAGTATTTTGAAAAACTGAAGAGATAGATTGCTGAACTAGAAAGAAGTAGAAAATGAATAGAATATTTTGGAAAACTGAAGGAACATGCTTTTTTATGGATAGCAAAACTAAAATTAAGAAAGAAAATTGAATAATAAAAGTGTTTTGTGATGTTCTGTGAAATATTCAACTAAACAAATATTTACAAGAAATAATGTTCATGGCAGAATAAGGTTTATGGCAAAACAATGTTTGCTAGGTCAGCTAGTATAACTATATATTCATTTACTTACTCCACCAAAGCTTTTGATAGCCACCATGAAAATACCCTTTTCTCCAATGAAAAAAGCTGACACATGCCTGAATACTAGCCTGAATAGTTTTTTAATTGATATCATTTTTTTGCCATACTCACCTCTAAATTCAAGGGTCTCAAACTGTGACAAATGATCAGGTAAGGATCAATTTGAAAGAGAAAAATAAAAAAGGCAGACAATAATATGTGCAAAAATCAGCTTTTCTATTCTTTCAAACTGCCAATGTATAAATAGCCTACTAATTAAAAAAACTGACCTGGGTCCAGCAGTAATAGCAGGAACATAAGAGTGTCTGTTTCTAGAAGAGCTACCAGTAATCCTTGGAATCTCAGACCTAGAATAGGTCTTGGTCTCCCACTCATTGTTGAAACACTCCTTCTCATCCTCATCTATATTAATCAAATCCTCCCTTTCCTCTCTATCCCCAGTTATCATATTCTGTTCTTTCTCAATGATATGAGCCCTCTCTCCAATATGATGCCCAATAGACATCTTTTTTGTGCCTGTAACAGAGTCTGTCACTGTTTTTTGGGTCTCTTTGATGCCCCCAGGAGCCACTCTAGTACTCGAAGTAGCTTTGTACACCTGGGGACGACCATCTGGACCTGAAGTCATGCTGATTACAGTGCTAGAGCTGCTGTAGTTTCCAGCATTGGGCATAGAATCCAGAGAACCGCTCAGAAGTCGGTTGAAGTTGGGCATAACTGGCATTGAAAAAGGCGACATGAGAGAGTTGTGGTGACGGTGTGTGAGTGCACGATTTTCGAAGTCTCCGAACCCCATCATGGGCCCCCCCATCATGCCAAAGGGATCAGAAAACAGGGAATTCATCATGTTGTTCATTTGACGCATGTGCCTCATGTGAGAACTGAAAAATAATAGGAGAATGAAATGATTCTGGAAAGCAGCATGGCCGTGCTTATATGTATTGCTATTGTCTAGAAAGTGGTCGATATTCTTGGGGTATAATGCAACTGTTCTTACCCGAAAATTGGATCGTCTTCCATGTTGCCCATCAACGAACCAAAAACGGACATATCCTGTGATCGCGGCAGTTTGGAAATTTACGAAAACAGGAGAATTAACACAATACGTTCACAAATTCGACAAAATTTTGTCAAGTTCCTTAAAATTTCTCGAACTTTGCTGTTTTCGACAGTTCGAACTTTGATAATTGACATTCGACAGAATGAGAGTGACACTAATGACAAATGACAAATATTCGATTGCTGCAGTGTTGCCAGCTTACTACAAAAATCTTAGATATACTGTCAATGAACGACAGAAGCACTGACATGACTATTATCTAGATTCAATACCATTCATGCCATGGAAAAGACATTATATCACCTACGAGATCAAAATGAAGAAATTTAATCATGCGCATATTTTGGTTCTGTATTTTTGTACTCATTCTGCACGTTGAGTAGAAGCGTGAGGGCTAACATTATTTTTGGTTCACCAAATCGGAGGTTATAAATAAGTTTTTGGGAATGCTTCCATATGCGAAGAGTTCCAAAGCTTCTCGCCGTCCTATATAGACGAACGAATTTTGGTAGAGTGTTGTTCGACATTTTTCAAGGTTAACGACAAAGGGATGTACTGACTGGGACTGTCGAGTTTTGATAGATTTTGAATGTAAGCCAATTAGTTTCTCTATAGGTTTTATTCATCTTTCAATGGAGTGTTTATTGATATTTGAACAATATATGATAACACAGAGTGTTAATTGTTTCTGGAGAATCTCTGAACTTTCATTCGAAATTATTCGACTATACCAGTGCAATCTGTATGGATTTCAATACCCTTGTGATCAAAAGAGCTCCTTCCTAAATGTCATCGACAGACATATATTTTGAATTATCGTCCACATGAAAACAAATTTCGAAAGCTGTGTGTAAAAGTAGTACTATTCCAAATTCCTCCATAAGTGACCAGAGATGCTTCTGAATGATAGTCTAGTATCCCAGACAGCACATAATATTCTATGAATATTCTGACAACGTTCAAATAATATACTCATTTCAGAATATTCTGATAGAATATTCTCAGAATGATCATAGAATATTCTCATTCTGCAAACAATATTCTATGAACATTATATTTGACATATTCTCAGAATATTATTTTGAAAACTCTGAGAATATTCTTTCTGAATATTCTGAGAATATTAAGAATCGTATCAAAACATATGATAAGTATGATCCTATTCTTCTATAAATATTCATAATGTTTACCCTGACATTGGTATATTGGTATTGGTAGGTTGGATGGTGACAGATGCGCTGCGACCTAATTAGATCTATTGTGCCCCATCTGCTCCTGCTATATCAAGGGTTTCCTGTTCATAGCAGCCCCTCGAGATTCAATTCCTTTAGGAATTTGAGGATTTTGAGGGGGTCTAGCTGTGGTATTTCTTCCACAGTCAGCTGGTGTGTTCCCAGTATGTTCAATCTTTTGTGATGTACAGCGTCACACTCCATCAGTATGTGATGGGGTGTTTCTGGTTCTTCCTCACAGAGTCTACAGGTGCCGTCCTCCTGTAAGCCTAGCTTCCTCAGGTGTTCTTTGAGTCTGCAATGCCCCGTTAGAAATCCCGTTATTGCTTTGAGACTTCCTTTGCTGAGGTTTGTCAGTGTCTTAGATCTTTCTCGGTTGAAATTTCCTAGGAGATCTTTAGCCTGCCGTAGTCCTGGAAGTCTTCTCCATTGTCTGGCTCTCCAGGCTCCTTCCGCCTTCTCAAGTTCTACTTGGAAATAGGAATTTCCAAGGCCGCAGAATGGCTCTGGTCCGATCAGTGGCGTTGAAGCCCCTTGTCGTGCCAGAGCGTCTGCTTGTTCATTCCCCTCCACTCCGATGTGCCCTGGCACCCAGAGGAGGATAACTTTATTGTTGCTGCCTAGCTCATTCAGTTTGCTTAGGCATTCCCATACCATCTTCGAGTTGATGTAGGGAGAGCTCAACGCTTTGATGGCTGCTTGGCTATCGGATAAAATCGCGATGTCCTTACCCTGACATACCTTCTTTCATTATCTAGCCTCAATGCTGATTATCCCACTAATACAGTGTTATCATCCTACTATTCATTTTATTCATCAATATGGTTCGTGCATGGCGAAGTGGTAAAGGTTTCACATTCCTTGGCCAACACCATCAGCCATGCCAGCCAGTCCCACACGGAGGATATATGTATTCTTATTGTCCTAACGGATCCTGTTCATTTTGGTCCTTCGCCAAAGCTGTAGGGAGAAACTTCACTTCCAGCTCGTTTGCTCTTTCAACCAAAGGAGATGGAACACTATAGCCACAACTGCCCAGGAGAAAGCCAACATTTCTGCGCATTTATTTGCTAGAAATTCCACTCTGGATTCATCAGGAAAACAACCTACAAACATAACGCCAATTTACAGTCATATATGCCCGAGATCACCTTTCGCCAACATACTATAAAGAAGATTTTATTGGGTCTCAACACTCTCAACACCAACAAAGCTTGTAGCTCGGACGGAATCCCACCGATTGTTCTCAAGAAATGTGCTCCCGAACTAACACATGTTCTCTGCAAGTTGTTCAACCACTCTTACAAATAATTGGGGATATTCCCGTCCAACTGGAAAATTGCAAGAGTACAACCAGTTCCTAAACAGGCAAAAAGACCCTACCTAGCAACTACAGACTGATTGCACTGCAATCTATTATTTTACAGATCATGGAGAAAGCTATCATCGAGCTCATGGAATACCTGAAACATTTCAGAGATCAACTGGTGACCTGCTCGCTTACGTCTCACATATATGGCAGCAATCTATTGGAAAATATGATGAAACCTTAGCCGTGGCACTTAATATCTCCAAAGCATTCGATCGAGTCTGGCACCACGGACTCCTCGCCAATAAGCTTCCATCTTATGGCTTGCCTCCCTGTTCTCTGCAAGCTAGTTTTCTTTCAAACAGGTCTCTTCATGCAGTGGTCGACGGAGTTTCATCTGACTCTCTTACCATGAATGCTGGTGTTCCGCAAGGATCAATTCTAGCACCAACACTATTCCTACTCCATATCAACGATTTGGTGGTAGCAACTTCATGTCCAGTACACAGCTTCGCGGATGATACTACCCTCCATATACCGCCTTTTCTTCCAGAGCTCCAATACTAGCCACAGGCAAATCGAAAACGAACGAGGGAGAAATGTTGACAACATAAATATGGACCTGGTAACAATTCTCGAATGGGGATCCAATGACTTTGGAGACTTCAATGCAAACAAAACACAAGCATGCCTTTTCTCTAGGAAAGCCGATCTCACTGTGCCAAACATAAGCATGTCAAGACTAACCATACCTTTGAAGACATTCATTTCGATGCTTGGTATTACTATCAGCAATAACCTTTCTTTGGAAAATCACGTGAGATCAATTGCGAAAAGTGCATCCCAAAAATTTGTTTTTTTGTTTCGAGCCAGGAGCTATTTCACTTCCAGTCAGCTGCTTATGATCTATAAGGCACAGATCTGACCTGTCCTGGAATACTGTTCCCATATTTGTAGTTGTTGGATTCTGTCCAAAAAAGGACAGTTCGTCTCGTGGGTGATGCCTCGCTCACAAACTCACTCACTTTTCTGGAACACTGTAGAAAAGTTGGCGATCTGCCTCTATTTTATAGATATTTCCATGGACGATGCTCTTCTGAAATATCAACAATTGTACTTCCCTTGGCAGTCTCCACGAGATTAACCTGTCGAGTTGAGGCTTCGCACCCCTATCACTTTGGAGACCTGCAGAACATATCTTGCCAAAGACTCGTTCATCCAACGATGTTCTCTGAACATTCCAGGATATCCCTTTTCTTGGGAACCAGAACATATAAAAAAACAGTTTTTAGAAATTGTGAATAATGTCTTTTATCAATACAATGTGGTGTGTGATATGTGCTGTAAACTATATTTGGGAGAAATTAACGACTTTAATGAAAGAAGGATCGTAAAAATCCAATCACAAGTTACTATAGGTTCGCATCTCCACCATAGCAAGCTTTGCGCAGTTTATCGCTCAGATTACGCTTTGCTGAATATAAACTGGACATTTCAGATTTGAAACCTTCCCAAGTCTGGTTTCCACATAGAAAACCATTATTTTGCTTCGCCAATGAGGCTACTCGAACTCCTGATGAGTAACTCATAGCTAGACCAGTGGAAAATGTCACTCAACTTTTCCAATACTTCGCACCACTTCACTGCACCTTCGTCGTTTTTATCGGGATCAAAACTTGGGATGTTAATGACTGGAGTAGACACTGCGTTTCTAACTGATTCTTCTTTCAAATCCTCCATGGCACTATATAGTGTTCCGATCGAATCCTTACTTCTGATGTGAGGAACCGTGTTGTAGGAACAGTGTTCGGGTGTACGTAATTTTTAGGCACTTCTACAATGAACAGCGAGAACAACCACTTCATTCTATCAAGGATAAACGTAGACTGACTGAAACAATTCTCTCTTATATCACCGCAACCTCAATTATCTACCAGACATATATATGAATCACAGAATGATATAACAAAATTATCACAAACTAACCTTACTGAGATATACAAAATCGACGCAAATGCTCCCATATATATTGCATACCTGCAAGAAATGATACATTATTGCCACTCGAAACTTCAATTGAAACAGGATGAATTGAATGAAGCTTCAAATAGTACAAGTTCGTTGAATAGGTCAGCAAGTTGATATATGAACTCCGAAAGAACGCTTCGCGCACGTTCGACCCTGGAAAAGAACATCGTTGAATTAACGATTATTATTATCGGCCAGGCCTTGACAGAATTGTTGAAAAAATTCCAGTGCCTCATCATGCAAGTGTAGCTTTTGCACATTCTGAATGGTCCAAGATGGAGAGTGATCGTCTGCACAGATTTTTGGGTAAAAAGATGAAACAATTTTGTTCAGTTCCCGACACCCATTCCAGAGTATCATCACACAAATTGAAATCTCGTACTCAAAAAGCTTTCGAATTGATCTTCTAGACCCTTATTTGTAGTTGAAAAGGCATCTCATCTGTAGTCTTTACGTCGTCAATAATAATGAACTGTATCCCACTTGGCAACGCTGAATTAGAATTTTCCAGCAGCTGACTTTGACGGCAAATATTATCCCACTTGGGTGGTAATAATGAGGTTATGGTTCTTGTTGACGTGTAAAGGTGTCAAAATTCAAAAATCAGATTCAAAACAGCCACGTTGGAAGTGTCAGTGTAATTAATATTTATTCAAAGTTAATTTCAATGAATTATATAAAAAGAAGTAAATAAGGTAAAGGTTTCTGATTATTCATTTCATACAGTTATATAAATCCAGTACCATAATAGGTAAGCATATCAATTTTCTAACCTGACATGTACTTTTTTTATCAAGAATAGATACAATGAAAGTGAAAGACATTGAACGTACAGCCAATGTGGCTTGGTCCCCGAAAAGCCACCACCCCATATACTTGGCTGCTGGCACAGCTGCCCAGCAATTGGATGCTTCTTTCAGCACCAACGCAGCCCTAGAAATCTACTCTCTGAACCTCTCTGAACCCGGTCCTGATACCAAACTGGTGTCTTCAGTGCCCAGTGACCAGAGGTTTCACAAGATAATTTGGGGCCCTCATGGCAGAGAAGAAGCTGGAACTATCATTACAGGGTGTGATGGGGGCTTGGTGCAAATTTATAGTGCCTCCAAGTTGCTTAAAGGGGAACATGGTATTATTGGGAAGCAGGAGAAGCATGTGGGGCCAGTGCATGCCATGGATTTCAATAATTTCCAGGATAATTTGTTTGCTACTGGTGCTGGGGAATCAGAAATTTTCATTTGGGATTTGAATAATACTAGTTCTCCCATGTCACCAGGTGAGTTTTTTGATTAGCTACATGATTTATGTAGAATGACAACAGCATATGAGCCATTAGCAGGACCACAATTGTTTTATTTCATCATTTTTAGATTTTTATCAAGATTTGGAGGTTTTTTAAGGGTTATTGCACCTATTTTGCAGACCATACAGGGAATGATCAATATCATTTTGTCTGTGAACATAGAATAGAATAGAATAGATAGATAGATAAATAGATAGATTAGGTATAGCGTTTGTGGGGATGCAGCTGATGTGTGACTCAAAAGAAAACTCTTTTTACTTTTGAGAAAGCTTTTGGAATTTATTTAATTCCTTCGTCAGTCTCTCTAAAATGAAATGCGCAATTATGATATTCAAAAGGAATGGGTATTAGAAATTACTTACAGTATATGAAAAAATACATGGGGTTGAAAAATTAGATAGGTAATAGGTTGATCAAGATGGAATTGAATTGATGGATATATTGTGTCTATCATGCTCAATGAATAAAAAAACAGATATTCAAAATTTAAATGTAATTTATTCAAATATTCTAGAAATAGAGAATAAAAGGCATGATAGACACAATATATCCATCAATTCAATTCCATCTTGATCAACCTTTTACCTATCTAATTTTTCAACCCCATGTATTTTTTCATGTTACATATTGTCACTTTGACAAAGTTATATTAGTTTTATATCCATGAATTTATGCATTTTTTACAATTTTATACTACATATTCTGATTTGCAATTCTACAATCTCATATACTGTAAGTAATTTCTAATACCCATTTCTTATGAATATTTTAATTGTGCATTTCATTTTAGAGAGACTGACGAAGAAATTAAATAAATTCCCAAAAGCTTTCTCAAAAGTAAAAAGAGTTTTCTTTTGAGTCCCACATCAGCTGCATCCCCACGAACCCTATACCTAATCTATTGATTTATACAGCTACTAATACTAATTGAATATGATAAATAGATAGATAGATTTCTTATTGATCACATTACATACATATAGAAGGTTTATATGACAGGTCAAGTCAATACAAGAATTGGAAAAGAAATGAAATAAAATCTAGTGATACTTGGCACAATATGAAAAAGTCTAAAATACATACTTTGTAGTGAGATATAATCTGTTGGGCCATCAATACAAATGAGTTGATGGCCCAACAGATTATGTCTCACTACAAAATGATTTGAAGACACTAGAAAATTGGTGTTTAGCAAATAAACTTTCATTAAATACTAGCAAGTGTAAAGTAATGACATATTCAAGAAAAAATACCCCACTATTGTACAATTATCTGCTTAACTAAGAGTCATTATCAAGAGTAACACAGCAAAAGGACTTGGGGATTGTTTATGACAACAAACTAACTTTCACTTATCACTACAAAGCAGTAATTTCAAAAGCTATGAAAGCACTGGGTTTCCTAATTCAAACTTGTAGTGAATTCAATTCCCTAGATGCCCTTTGTCTGTTGTACAATATGTTAGTCAAAAGTGGAATACTGTAGTCAAATTTGGAATCCATATCACCAACAAACAATTTCAGCAATTGAGATGGTACAAAAAAAGTTCTTAAAATACCTATTCTACAAAAAATACAAATGCTACCCTGAAAGAAATTATAGTTATGAACTCCTTCTGAATGAATTCAAGTTCCAATCCTCGTTCCAATCACTGAAAAAGAGAAGAGATATAGGTGACCTATTATTCATTTATAAGATTATTCATAATTCTATAGATTCTGCTACATTATTTTCACTAATTGATTTCAACATACCAGGACTAGCCCCCAGGTATCATAATACTTTCCACCTCAACACTCTGAATACACAGCATAAATTTCATTCTCCAATAAACTCAATGTGCAGAAATTGTAATAAACTTGCAACAGTTGGTATTTTCTTTCTCACTCAAAATCAATTCAGACAAACCATTTCCAATTTACTCTCTGATTACCTAATGAACATATCATTAATTACTTTCATTAAGTATATTTTTCATGATTATTTTTATTATTATCTTCATTATTATTTTTATTGTTATTATCAATATTATTATTATTTTAACTACTATATTGTTACTATGATTATCATTATCTTTTCAACCACATGTTTTAATCTATATTAAGTACTCCTATAATTGGGCTTAGGCCTGCTGGATGTATATTCAATAAATAAATAAATAAATAAATAACATTATCATACAGATTGAAAACCAGATTATATTGAAAATACATAAATGCAATCAAGGAAGAGGCATAAGTTGTCACCTTGGCAATGGTTCGAAATATGTGGTTGATAGGTATTCCTGGATTGAGTAGAAGCACCCATCAATCAACACTTTTTTGATTATTTTTTCAAATTGTATGGGTAGTAGTTGTTTGTAGTGCTCTGGTAAGTAGTTTATTGAATAGA